GACCGCGTCCTTCTGCCAGGCAGACCAGGCCTCTCTGGTACCAGATCTGGATAGGCTGGCACTGCAATGTTCCCTCTAAGCTGTGGAGTCTTGTGTGCAAAAATTCTACTTTGTGAGCTACGGGCATTAAAGTAGTGAGCGAGCGATTTGGCTACTGCATAGATTAGCTTGCTCTGGAGCCCCATCCTCCCTGAGCTAAGACAAAAATGTGTGAGTCGGAGGCTAAAAAACTGTCAGCTAGCTCACACTAACTCAGCTTAGAGGGAACACTGGCTGGCAGGCCATGGTGAGCCCTACCGGAAGGGAGTGCGCTGTGTCCCGAACAAACACATTCCGGTTCTCAGATTGTTCCAGCCTTTCAGGATGGTGGAGATTTGAGGCAGACTCTGAGGAGGCCCGTTTAGGATTGTTCTCACCGTCTGCATGCATAGAGGCGCCCACTCTCTGTGCATATTTGAGGGGCTGAACTTCGGTTTGGGGAGCGGGCTCTGGCATCAAGTCCCGGGGCTCGAGTTATACTTTTCTTGCTCTGCCTCCTTTCACAAGAAGGTTTGGGAGCGGAAATGGAGAAAGGTGTACAGAGCGGGAATCTTTCTGCTTTGTTTCCAGAGGAGGAAAAAACCCTGCCTATTGTGGAAGAAACATTCTCTGCCTCCAGGATCCCATCTAGGCAGCAAAAACAAGGTAAGGGAGGGGCCCAAAACCCACTGGGAGAGAATCTGGCTAGCAGCTAACAGTAGAGAAAAGAGGGATATTTGGAGGGCAGCCCAGCGTTTGGGATGGGACTTGTAGTGAGTGGGGCATTCTGCCTCTGCCTCCCGTTCCCACCCACCACCAGCCTGTGTTCTGCAGGAGACAGATAAAAAAGTGAGCAAGTAGGGCAAGAGGAGACCAAGGGGAGTGGTGGAATTTCTTGGAAGCAAAGGCCAGGTGCTTAAGCTGGCTATACTAAGAGATCAGAGCAGTTAGTGCATTTTTTAAAAAGGCAGGGAGGTCATCTCAGCAGTTCAGCTGCTGGGCCTGTGAGGGGGCTGATGTGTTAGGTATCCAGAAGCAAAGGGCGATGCATGGCAGAGCAGAACTAGGTAGTTCGCAGTGCTTTTCATGCTGAGGTGTCCCAACTGGAACGGCAAGTCAGCAAGTAAACAATGTGGCAATAGGGACTGTAGACCAGGCTGTAGATCGACAACCTTTGTCAGTGGCTTCCTGCCTAGCGTCGCTACCATAGCTATTCTTGTTCTTGGAAGCTTCTAAGCTCTTAAAAACTTAATGGCTGCTAAACCGCTTAATTCATAAAGATACTTAAAAGGAAGGCCTGGGCCAGCATCCTTCTGGAGCAATGGCACAGGGTCAGCTCAGGTGCTTTTTAGGATAGGTGGGCCCCTGATTTTTGAGGCCCTCAGGCCAAACCCATAGTGAGATCAATGGTGCTGTTAGTTGCTGCTTTGAAATAGCACTGTGCGGATGCATGGTCATGTGATGAGCTATTTGTTGGGAAGTAGCTTCCTACATTGTTGGGCATTATTTCAGCCACAGAAAGTATCATGTGGCTGTGGCGTAAACAGTGTAAATAGTTTGCTCGCGGAAGCTGTGTCCACATAACTTGGAACAGTTTGCTATGACTGCACTTTTGAGTTCGGCGTCCAAGTAGTGGACAGCAGTTTCAGAACCCTTTTTCAGGTTCGGCAGGCCTGGGCAAGATTTGTTATGTGCTTGCAGTTCTGAAGACCAGAGCAGAGACAATTCAAAAGCCCTGTGTTGTATGTCACCCTTTTCGTGTGGGATACATGGAGAAGTTTGGCAGTAACCCTTTTCTAAAGTCTCTTATAAAGCTAGATGTCTTTCTGTCCATCATCTGGGTAGAAGAAGTGCTACCCACTGTGTAATCGGGTGCCATTTCCTTTCCCATAGTATGACAGCATGATTGTACCACTGCAGTTGTGGATCAAAGCTGGATAATATGTGATCTGTGGCAGCTGAAATGAAGCTTCCAGTGTGGTGATGGAAGAGGGCTGTGCCCACATATAGTTTTTCAAACCTTTATAAGCCCATCTATCTCCAGCAGTAGCATCTTCTGGCCTGCTGTCTGCTAACTATGACAACCATATTGCTGACACCCAGGAAGAAACATGAGACTGGGATCTGCATCATTTACTCTGGCAATATTACTCTGTAATAATAATAGCTTGGTCCCAATTAAGGACTCTTTATTTAGATATTTATAGCTTACTTTCCCCCCACAATGAGTACTCAAAGCAGCTTCCATTATCATTCTCCCTTCTTCCATTTTATCCTCACGACAACAATTCTATGAAATAGGTACGACTGAGAGTGTGAGGCTGACTCCAGGCCCCCCAGTGAGCATCCAAGGCTTTGGGGATTTGGACCCGGGTCTCCCAGATTAAGGTTCGACATTCTAACCATGTTGATTTTTGGAGGGTATGCTAAGAATTTCTTTTAATCTCTAATGCATCACTCTTGGCCATGGTTAGGCCAAAGGGCAGCTATGTGAAGTGGGGAATTAACAACAGCAAGTACAACTCTGGTTTGAGACTCAGTCGTGAATGCTTCTTGAGAGGTTGGGAAGAAAAGCCACACTTCATTCGTTTGTGTTTATTTAAATAAATTGGTGTAAAGTTAAAGGCTTTAGTCAGGTTGGTGTGAGACTCTTCAGTAACTCTCAGACACGATAAGTCTGTTTAGGGATTTTATTAGCAATCAGGAAATCCAAATGTAATAAGCATATTAACATGCATATGAGGAGCTTGCTGAATTTGTTAACGTATTTCAGACTGCATCTTCTTTTTTTATAAATATTTTGGATCTTTATAAAAACATGTTATAGGAACCAGAGTGGTAGAGGGGAAGTCAAGAGGGTATGTTTTATGGCCTGTTTGGAAAGGGCTATGGGTCACAAAGAGAAGACTGGGTGTTTAAGAAGGAGCCTTTCTTTGTTACTGGTGTGTTCCTGAAAGGCTGAGGTGGTGTGTTAAGCCACTCTGCTTGGGTTCTGATGCATTTTGTGGGGTGGATGGGAAGGCTGTCATTTGGACGATGCTCGCTTGGGACACTACCCAAGTTCAGCCAGAGGTGTCTGATGCTACCCTTTGCCTTTTCTTCCTGTTTCCCAACACAACGCAGGTAGGCACCATGGTGGATTACTATGAAGCTCTGGGGGTGCCTCGCAATGCGTCTCCAGATGACATTAAAAAAGCGTAAGTTGCATCCTCTTAATTTCCGTCTGAGGTACCAGTATTGCCTGTGCTCCCCCCCCCCTTTTCAATTTACCATTATCGATTTTCATACAAAATAATATGCATCTTATCACATTATATGTTCATTTTCATGAAAGCAAAAACAAAGTAAAACAGTAGTAATAATTATACTAAGGATATAAATCCTCTATATAATCAATCAACAATCGTGCTCTTTATCCAGCAACTGTTCCAAAAAACTACAGAACATTATACCTGAATGTTTTCCCTGTTGTAGCCTGCAACAGTCATATAGACTGGCAAGGCTGAGCAGAACAGAAACTTGTTTGATTATTTGTTTGTATTTTTGATAATGTTTTCCTTGTATAGTTTTAACAGAGTGACTAATATCTTAGAGGTGGCAAAATTGTTAGCACGTAGAAAGGCACTTTTCTCACACATCTATGAGATCTGCACACTATGTAATGTTACTCAGAACATAAACAACCATATAGCTATACATTACAACAATATTTTACGAGGCTGAAGTTGGTTCCTTATTCCCAGTTCCTTATTCATTCCTTATGTATTTGAAAAAAATATTTGAATAAGGAGCTGGTTTGACTATTTGCCCACTACATCCCGGAATAAGGTTTGGACCTCCGCAGGTCATACACTCCCATGTTCAGTGAACTCTCCCCTTCGAGGGGACATATGCTGTGTCCTGGTCCAAAGCGCGGTTCTTGTGCCAGCTGCTCCAAAGTGAGGCGCCCCCAGGACAATCACACAGGCAGACACTGGGGCCAAGCTGTACCCCAAAACAATCTTTGGACCACCCCAAAGGACTCATCCCCACGCTCTGGAGACTGTCCCCTGCAAGATGACATACAGTGATGCCCGGTCCAAACACTGGTTCCGGCGCAACGAGCTTCAATTCAGAGTGCCTCACAGAAGCCTGTTTTACAAAGAAGAGTTGAATAAGGAAGTGTCCCCTGCACCCAAAATAAAGATTGGACCACCACATGTCATACACTCCCATGTTCAGCGGACTCTCCCCTTCGAGGCGACATATGCCATGTCCTGGTCCAAGGTGCGGTTCTTGTACCAGCTGCTCCAAAGTATGGTGCCCCAGGACAGTCACACAGGGAGACACTGGGGCCTGGCTGCATCCCAAAACAATCTTTGGACCACCCGAACTGACACATCCCCACGCTCTGGAGACTGTCCCCAGGAAAATGACATACAATGATGTCTGGTCCAGACATGTTCTGATGCCATAAGCTTCTATTCAGAGTTCCTCCCAGAGCAGAGGCCTGTATTTCAAAGAAGATTTGAATAAGGAAGTGCCCTCTGCACCCAAAATAAGGCTTGGACCCCCACATTTCATACACCCCCATGTTCAGTGGTCTCTCCCTTTTCAGGGAACATATGTCGTGTCCTGATTAAAAGTGCGATTTTTGTGCCAGCTGCTCCAAATTGCAGTGCCCCCAGGACAATCACACACGCAGACACTGAGGCCAAGCTGCACCCCAAAACAATCTTTGGACCACCCCAACTGACATGGATAAAAATCTGACCTCAAGAACCACAAAAATGTGAAACCTGTAGGAGAACATTTCAAACTCCCAGGGCACTCAGTGGGGGACCTCAAAGTAGCTCTTTTATTTCAAAGGAATTTCAGAAAGAAACTGGAAGGGGAGATTGCTGAATTGCAAGTTATTGCAACACTCAGGACAATGGAACCCCCTGGACTTAACAGAGATATTGGCTTCTTATCTCACTACACACACTAAGTCATTCTGTTCTTACTTATACCCAGAAATTAAACTTTGTGGGACTTATAGAGGCCACTGGACTCAAACTTCAGTCTCACATCTGTTGTTAACTCCTTTATTTTCTGTATGCCAGCTGGCGCAAGTGTCCATGGGATGCTTTTGGCCCTGAAACAACTTACTAAACATAACCCACATTGAGGTAGGATTACTTTTTCAGACCTATTTCAGGAGCATACTGAATGCGCATTTTCATTTATGTGGATTGGTCACCAACTCCAAGTTTGTATCTTTCATCACCTCTTTAAAATAGCATAACAGAATAACTTTAGGGTCAAAAAGAATTTCATAACCAATAATCTCTCAATGCTGAGAACCAAAACCTCTGTATTCCAGTACATTCCCAAAATATGTGGAATTAGTCTGCCCCTGGAGAGTGACAGCTCCAATAAATATCTATGGGTATATTGTAAATTTGAGCCAATTTATATGGGGTTAGGTACCAATCATACAGGATCTTATAAAAGTTCTCTTTGCCATCACTGGAGATCCACTTTTTTGGTATTCTTCTCCCAGATCCATACCCACTCACTGGTTGTTACCTCTTCTCCCAGCCATCGTTCCCATTTCCTCAGGTGTTTATCAAATGCTACGTCTTGATGAAAAATTAATGTATACAAATCACACACTTTCCCAGGTACCAAACTATTAGTAGTCATTTTTTTCTGGTGGCATTTCCCATGCTTTTGAATCAGTGTTGAAATGATATGCAGAAACTGGAAGAACTGAAATAATTGCCGTCTTTCTCCCTTCATTTTAGCTACAATTTGATCATAAGAGAGAATCCCCTCATTGCTTAATAAACTTTCAGCTGTAGCTCTTCCATAGCTGAATATCTGCTAAAGAGCTCACATCTCGCACCTCCTCATTATAAAAAACAGATGTCAATGGGGATAGACAACGATCAAATAATGGTCTCAGTTTCCTCTAAACGTTTAAGTCAGCATTAATACTCTTGAGCTGTGGTGGCTCAAGTGGTTAAGACGCTGAACTGCAGGCTGTGGAAGGTTGGTACGAGACCCGAGTGCTGCATGACGGAGTGAGCTCCTGTCTCTAGTTCCAGCTCCTGCCAACCTAGCAGTTCGAAAGCAAGAAATTGCAAGTAGATAAATAGGTATCACTTCAGTGGGAAGGTAACAGCGTTCCGTGCGCCTTGGTGTTTAGTCATGTCGGCCACATGACCACGGAAACGTCTTCGGACAGCGCTGGCTCTTCGGCTTTGAAACGGAGATGAGCACCGCAACCCTAGAGTTGGATTTGATTGGCTTTCGAGCAAGGGAATCTTTACCTTTAATACTCTTGAACTCATATTTCTTTTTTCTTTGTCAGCAAACCAAACAATAGTTGACAAGATCCTGTTGATTACTTTTTCAGCAGCACTTAAATTCTTATCTGGCATAAACCCTCTTAAGGGTGAGCTCAATCTAACATCTTGATAATAAAGATATATATTAGGCACACCCAGCCCACCACAGAAAGGTTTCTGATACAAGATTCTAGCAGAAACTCTAGGGGTTTGTTTTGCCAGATAAACTGAAGGATCCACTTTTGCCAGCTTTTTAATATTTCTTGATTGATTGTCATGAATAAAAATAATAGTTTTGGTAACACAGACATTTTGATAGTAGCAATTCCCCCATTGGGAGTAATCTCCATTTGTTTTACTGAATTTCTAATTCTGAGAGAAGTTTCCTATGATTAACAGCCACAACTTTACACATATCTTCCTGAACCCAAATCCCCAGGTATCTAATAGGATGATAGTGCCATGGGATGCCTATTGAATGAGCAAGTTCATTCTTCTGAGATACATCCATGCAAAATCCTTAACTCAAGTGGCAAGGACTCAAAAGGCTTTGTGATAAACTGGGCTAGATCATACACAAATAGAGTTTGAAATTATCTTGCTTCATTTGGACCCCACAAACATCTATAATACACTTTACAATAGTGAGTGTCTGTATCATGATTACAAACAATGAAGGAGATAAAAGACATTCTTGCCTTGTGCCTCGGTGAAGTTCCAGTTCTTATGACAAAACCCCATTTACACTTTTCTGGCTCTGGGGTTGTTATACATCATAGATATCCATTCAGTAAAACTTCCTCCTAAATTACAATAATGTAATACTGCCTTCATGAATTTCCATTCCACTGTGTTGAATGCTTTTGCAGCATCAAGGAACACAAATACTATCTGCTTGTTACGTTTTTTCACTTGACTTACAAATACTTTGTAAAATTCTGGAATAAACCCATCAGGGCCTGGAGCCTTATTCATGTTCAATTTTTAATCACTTGAACTACTTCTTGTTCTTGAAAAGGCACCTCTAATTTCTTTTTTTCATCTATAGATATTTTGTGTGTTGTGTGCTGATTTTTGACAAAAAATCTTGTATACAGCCTCTTGTATACAAGTATACAACCTCTTGTATACTTGATCCGAAAAATATCTTTTATTTTCCATCTCAAGATCTCCGATCTTCCATATTAGGAAGGGAGAGAAGAAGAGATTGGATTTATACCCCGCCCTTCACTTGGAGTCTCAGAGCGGCTTACAAACTCCCTTCCCTTCCCCTCCCCACAACAGACACCCTGTGAGGTGGATGGGGCTGAGAGAACTGCTCTTTTTCAAGGACAGCTGTGCCAGAGCTTGTGACTGACCCAAGGTCACATCAGCAGGTGCAAGTGGAGGAGTGGGGAATCAAACCCGGTTCTCCCAGATTAGAGTCCGCGCACTTAACCACTACACCAAACTGGCTCTTAACTGATTCTCTTTCTCTCTATTGTGTCTATACGTTTCTGACCTTTAAAAAACAAACAAAACAACACACTCTCATATATAAGCTTTGAAGATGTCTCAGAAAATAGGCCAACTAACTAGGAAGCGAATATTGAATTAAAAAAAAATCTTGAATATCTTTACCCACATCAACTTGAACCTCTTCCCGATTCAATAACCAGACTTCTAGACTCCCAAGTCCTAACACTTGCCTTCGTATGACCAGAAGATTGTCTCAGGTACATGGTCAGCAAAAACCATTGGATATATAACCACATCACGAATCTGAGACAAATTTTTTGCCAAGACTATATAAAAGTCTAATCTCGAATATGTTTTGTGTGATGTGGAATAAAATGTATAGTCCCTTTGCCCTGGATGAACAAGCCTCCAAGTTTCAAATATTT